TGCACTGTGCATTATAAATATTTGTTTTAAAAGAAAATAGAGATTAAGCAGAAAAACAGCAGATAGAAAAACAAGTGGAAGGAAAATCTGTTATGTCTAATAGATTGGAAAAATTATTCAAGGATCATTAATGTTTACAGAGTCATTTCTGTAACGCTGCCAAGGTCAGTAAGACCTTGGGTTATCTGTCATCTCAGTTCTAGTTGCATAAGTAAACTGCCTGTGGGTAGTTTTAACTACACATTTAGCTATTTTCCTGAAAGTTTTCTAAGGTTTATATTCAATGATTTCTTCTGGGCCCATTCTAGTTCTTTTCTAATTGTCCTTTTGAGACTTGCACATATTTCCACCATTGCCCCATCATCCTCTATCATCTTAGGTCTGATCCAAAACCCAATGAAGTCAATGAGGGAATTCACATGGACTTCAGTAGGTTTTGATCAGGCCCCATATTTCCAAACCTAAAGAGTCTGTGTGTATGAATAGTGATTTTATGCAATAATGGGAAAGCAGTGATCTGCCACTTTTCCATTTAATTATGCACACACAAACTGTGATCTTTGTCATAATGGTGCAACTACACTGACTTAATAGAGTTTTGTTGGTGCACTGAAAAGAGCATTTGGCCCCCAAAGAATTTATGCAAAGCTTTAACTTAAGGAGAGTTTTAAAATCAGTGTACTTAGCTCATAACAGAATCACTTTAAGCAGAGATTAAAACTAAATAAATTGTCTCTTTTTTAAGTCACTGTTTACTGAATTATAAATCTTGAATCTAAACATACAATGAAACAAAAGAAATGACTAACATCTGCCAGATAATCTAGCCACTGAGTCAAAATTATCTGTAAGGGAAGTAATGAAGATTTCCAAAAAAATAATCTCATTAATTTCAGGGTACATCTGATGTACAAATAAACATCGAAAAAACATTGTCATTAGCCATAAAAATGAAAGGGAGATTCAACCCTCCAAAACATGTCTGTAGAAAACTATCATTTTTATTAAATATTATAAAAAGGTTAAAACCCACAAATTTTACTAACTAATTTTGGACAGCCGAAGGTCCATTTAGGTGTAGAAAGGATTCTTACTCCAGTCACATAACCCTCTGACAGCTGCCTTAACTCTGAATAGTCACACCAGCACACACAAATATTACAGCTCAAATCAGAGATTTTAAAAGAAAAGGCTACAAGTACTCACACTTAAAATCTTGCTGTTTCTACATGTTCTGATGTTTGACAGCTATGAACATGCTATGCCATTTTCTGTTGTACTGAATTTTCCATTGTCACCTTTGAACACCAGATGGCAACATGAAATGCAATTCATATGTACACTACAAATTTGATTACTGTGAAAAAAACCCTCTGTTTATGTGTTTAGTTACTGTAGCTATGGGATCAAAACCCAGTCAAGCTATCTCCCCATCACCTCAAATACAAAACTAGACTTCTGGAGGATTTTCAAACATCAAAAATAAGTTTATAAAGAGGTGTTTTGGGGCTATGAAGATAGGGGATCCCCAGGCTTTTTCCTAACACTATTTTCTCCTTTAGTCTGTCTTTCAGGTCATTGGAGTTAAGGAGATTCTGTTGGAGCGGTTCCTGACAGGGAAGATGAAACGTGTGCTATAAGTGTGTTAACAAACAAATAAAAACAAAACAAACAAAAATGTGCATATTAAAACTATATATAATTTAGTACATGGAAAGTGGTCTCTAATCAATAACTTCCTTTCACTTGATGATGACTCTTCTCTCTTCTCATTCAGTTTGGCCTCAGTACTACCTTTGACATGATCAACTCAGCCCACTGGATCTGCACAAGTGTCTTAGATTCCTACCTGTCATAGTTCTGCTCCTACAGTACCTAATTGTTTTTCTTCCATTATCTGGTGGTGCTTCCTCTACTCTACCAAGTTCTTCCTATTCTTGTATGAAGCCCCTCAAAGCGGATTCATTAATTTGGAAATATTACAGGTCCACTGACATCTACAGGCAAGATTGTACTATTTACACACAGCCCATAATAAGGAATGGCATGGAGCTGCACTGCCCTAAGCATAGCAAGAGGAGGAAAAATGTTTCCCTCAAGCTCCCAGATGCTCAGAGGCTGCTTGCTCACCACTACATCCTTTTATGTGGCCCATTCTAAAAGTCACAGCAGCTGGCAAGCTCTGCTGGCCAGTATGTGAGATGGAAAAGCCATGGCTTTGCCTCCAGAAGAATATGAAAGGAGTAGTCCCTACAACTTCCCCCAGCACAGGGACTGGTATTCAACCTGGCCCTTATGAAGGCCACTCTTCCTCGCACTATGCGCCCATATATGGATCTGGCAGAATCTGGGCCCAAGGTTACAAAAGAATAAGACTTTTTCCTTTGAATTTTTAATAAATGAAAACCAAACAATTACCATCAGGCATGTCAGCTTGACATGTTTACAAAACAAGACTTATAAGCCAACACACATTGGACTGCTCCCCTACCCTTTACTTTCTAAGTCGCAAGTTTGTCCTCAAAGTCTCTTCTTTTACATCTCTTTTGAGCAAACATATTCATCCAATATCTGAAGTCTTTGGAAGAAGTGCTGGATCAGGCTAGAAGTGGTTGTGTAGACAAAAATCCACCCCCTTCTCCCAAAAAACTTTGTTTATGATTTGATTTCAACTGTCACATTAAATTAAAAGCCACTAAAATCAACTGAACAACAACTTTTCAGGTTGATATTAAATAATTCTAGCAGTACTATTTTATAATAAAACATTGTTTTGCATTTTGATAATGTATGGAAAACCTTTTTAAAGAATATTACGACAATTAGACATTGATTTATTTGGTGGCTAAACAGATTTAAATTTGAAATATTAACCTAATTAATGATCCAAAACATTTCTAAGAACTTCACTGAGCTGCCATAATTTCTGTCAGCATATGTAGTACTGAATGACTAATAAAATACCTGAATTGAAACTATTCCAGTCTAGCAGTTTGTATGATCTTGTGTTACCCATAATTCCGACAAAGGCTGAGTTCAAAACAGCAAATTAGTAGATCAGTTATAGGAGCAGAATAGTGAAAAAAAACACTACCAACAAGAACACAATTGACAACACCACTCCACAGGAACTGGAAAGACACAGACAGCAGAGTTAATAAGAGGTTGAAATAGAAAGAGAAGAAAGTAAGGAGCATGCTATAGCACTCGGCATGATCAAGTGTACAGTATATAGCAATTACCAGTTGGTTTTTTTTTCCTGTTTTGTTTTCAAACAACCGCTTTAAATGTTCTTTCCTTTTCTACATTTTCCTGTTTATTTACTTGGCAGCTTATGTGTTTCCTTTGCGAGGAATTGAATCAAATTATTATTTGACTCGAAAGCTGATTAAGATAGTTCCCACACCAGTTACTGGGGTTTCCAAATTGTTTCTCTCTCTCTCTTAGGCATGATACTGAATTTGATGGATCGTGAATCCTACATTCACTTGTCAGAAGCAATCAAAGTTCTTCAGCAGATGCTGCTAGAGCCATTTTTGTGTGCAAACAGAAACTATTTAATCAGCATATGCATCTACCATCAGTTTTTCTCCTGCTTTCAGGCAGTGTGTTATTAAATGTTAGTCAGTAAAAAAGAAATGTGCATAGTGCAAGATGTTATTTCAGAAAATATCAGAATATAGTTGATATCTTTCCCATTCCTTCTAAGAATGTTTTTTGCTCTGATGCAGGCTTATAAGTAACACACACAAGTTTTTATAAAGAGAATACTATACTGATAATTTATTACACTGTAAAATAATCAAGGATTTATTAGTATCACATTTAAGGTAAGTATGTAAAGCCCCAAGCTAATGGCAAGTCAGGAGAGTTGAGGCCATACATAAATTGAGTATATTTATCCTCTAATGCATTAGGATATTTCTTTTCATCTTCTAACTATTGCATACATAGGAATAAAACAAAACCTTAGACGATTACAGGCAGGGAAAAGAAAATGTGTGTACTTAGTCACTTCAAAAACCCCTCAAAAATAGTTTTCTTACATTTATGTGACTCATGGATTTTGTTTCACATTCTCTGTTCAAGTTATTGGTTTAAGACTCAACAAAATGTAAGTTATCTAGACCCGTTTGCAGAAATCACAGATAGTGTGGGAAGTCAATGACAGGTAAAAGATTAAAAAAAAAAAAAAGAGAGAGAGACTGATGCCTGAAAAAGATGCATTTGCAAAAATTTTAAAAGCTAATTACTCCTGGCTAGTGAATGCAAAACCACGGTAGATGCTATTTTTCTTTAATCTGCCTCTGTTTCAGGGGAACTGACCAACTCAAATCTTTTATTTTTAGGCATATTTTCCATTCGATTCAGTGAATAATACCAAGATGAAGTACTAACAGCCAAGAGCTGCTTAACTCTGATGCCAGAAATAGAGCATGCAAAATGCATTAGCGTTGGGAGTTGCCAAGGAAAAATTATCTACAGAAAATTACTTTAAGGTTTTCACTTGTTGCAAAATAAAAAGTTGTTTCTGTTTATATCACTTAAGAGTCAAAAACACTGGATGAGCTAAACTGTGGGCAATCCTTAAAGATTTTAAAAACTGCTGGAAATTAAACCAAGTTTAAAGTTAACATGAAGGATTTCATCTGCTTTCATGGCTTTCACATAAAACATTTCATTTCAGAATTGCATCAAAGTTAACAATAAACCTTGGCCAAAAATTAACCCACAGCTTCAAAATCCAAAGGCATTAATTCTGGTTCTACTTTATTAGGTTCATAGTCCCTTACTGCTTCATTACACCAAAAACATTAAGAAAAAATTGCTGAAAAGTTTCTCACTAAAAATCTTTTCCCCACATGACTAATATTTTTCAAATTCTCATTCTTATCAGGAAAACTACAATGTCGTTTTAGTATTTTTTTTAATTAAAAAAAACAGAAATCCAAGGTCACAGTGAGATATGACTGAAAAAAAGATTTCTTTAGTGAACATACCAGGATTGTGGATGCGGTCCAAAAGCTTCACAGAGCGTGCACTGACCACACCACCAACATGGACAAGGAAGCCAGGTGGAAAGGCCGTCAAGGTAAAAAAGGGAAATTCCTGTTAGGATTAAAAATATAAACAGCAGGTGACCATCTGTAAAACATTGCTGTCTGTCAATCAACATGCAGTAATTTATTATGCTCCTTGAAATACAAGCAAAGCATTAACATTAGGCAAAACACTTATTTTAAGCTTATTATGCACTATATCAATTGTATGCCATTCAAGTATCCAACACAATGTGGTATTAGCAAAAGTATTCTAAGCAGTAAAATTACTTTTCCCCCATAGATTTGCATTCGGATATGGATATTAATTAACAACCCAAATCTTATTAAAATTTTGACTTTACAAAGCCTACATTAGCTTTTTTTTTCCTTTAAAGGTACACTAAAAGAGTGAAATAAAAATAATGTTATTTATTTTCTGAAGTGATGAGGCTTAGTATTTAACTTACTTATGCCTCTGCACTTTTTAATGCTGGCTACTACAACTGAGGGTAGTTTGGTATCCAAATTTTGAGTGGAACTGATTTTTGCTCCTGCAAGCATGAAGAGCACTTTATTAGATAAAGTGCATCTAACACAAATGCCAACAAAGACTGGTCTGACAGCACCAATGGCTCTGGATAAAACAAAAATTATTCACGTCTTTAGAATAAAAGTGAAAGATTTTGAAGTATAATTATTAGACCATTCTTTACTAGATTAAGAAATAGTCACTATCACCAATCATTCTAAATTCTTTTCCTTAGACACATTTTTTACTATCTGCAGCAAAAATGAGAAAGCAATACTCCTCCATGTCCAGACCACCTACTCAAGACAGTCTCTGTGAGAAACAAGGCTAAGGGCTTGACATAGTTTTTCACAATGTATGTGTTGTGAAATAAATTCCTCACATTCAAATGAGATGGGCCCAAGATGGACAGATTTAATTTTATAATTATAGACATACATACTGAAATATAGCATACTTATGGGGGAAAGGAGATGGGTTTCCATCTGCCAATTCTACAAACAGAGAGGCAAGAAAATAAATGAGTCATGCAACAATGGTTATTTTATACAGTTTTTATGGCTGATTAAGTGTTAAAAACGAATATTGTAATTTTAAAGCGATTGCCTAAATTAAGCATTCCACTCAGATTCTAGTCAACTGACAAAGTGCAGCTTAAACAGAGACTATCAAATCTCCTGAGGCAATGAGTGGCATTAAAAAATAAATGATTAAGACTCAAACCCTGGAGTCACCCTAGGGTATTGCTGAAGATCAAAAATATTGCATTTCTGTTGTATGGAGGCATTAGAAAGCAGAGAGATTACAAAGAGTGACTCTGCAGCCATATACAGCTGCTTGTAGACAAGCCAGAGGACTGGTCAGGGTACAGACAGTGGGATTGGAACCTGCCGGGATCCAGTGGATTACAATAGTTTGTGGAGGGAGGAGCCAGGCAGCCACTACTACAACACAGTGTGTGCAGATGCTCCATGCAGAGCCCTGTAGGCTACAAGGGGGAAGATTCCAGGCCATCAATATCTTTCTAGTGCCCTCACAAATCTCTTTCGCTCTGGCTTTACACAAGGACTGGAATGTGAACCTTTGAAAAGTATATTGATATTTATTTTCTTCCACATAATTCCATATCAATCTATATAATATTATCTCTTAATAATTTTATGTTGATAACTGACAGTTTTGCTCAGTTAAACTTTACTGGTTTTAAACACTAAAGATGTTAAATAACTAAACTGGCAGAAGAGCTTTTCTACTGAGGAATGGACATGGCGTTTTAAAACATTTCTATTTTATATGCATTTTAAAGGGTTTTTTAAATAAATTTAAGGCCATACTATGTTTAGGTTATATTAATACAGTAAACTATAAACACCAAAAGAGATTATGCTTACCCACCACTGAAAAACAAGCAGACCTTAATTATTATGCTTTTATCCATCTGGAAATGTATAAATTATTTCTGTCTTTTTTTTATTCCTTTTGATAATGTTATTTATTAAAGATAATTTTTAGTTTAGTTACAGTCTCCTGACATTTCTTCTGCAGGGATAATCCATAACAACATACTATTAAAACAAAATGGTACGTCCACTAGTCACTTGTAAATTTAAATTAATAAAAAAAAAAATCAGGAATATTTTTAGTCAATGTATGTTATTTATGTCCCCAGATCATCAAGATACCTAAGCATGTGCTGAAGTGTCTACTCAGGTTCTGCAAATTCTGTATGTGCTTAGGTATCCTGCTGAATTGAGGACTATATCCTGTCAGATTAACTCTAGACACCTAAACAAACCTATGTAACTGCATCCAGGAACCCTCAGTATTCTCAAGTGCTCTTATTTTCCTAAGAGTGATGTCTCATTCAGCTCTTATAACACTGAGGAAGTTTCATCTTATTTGTGAGATAAACTTGGAGTGCCCCTTGCCAATTGTTTTACCCATACCACATACTGTATGTATTAGTTTGTATAATACCGCAAAATTTTGAATGTATATTTTTCACAGTACAACCCAGTCAAATATGGATCCCATAGTAACCAATGTTTTATAATATTTCAATAGTTCTTTCCTCTGTTATTTGACAGCTGACAATGGACTACCCATAAAACAGTGCCCAAAAAACCCTAACAAATATCTGCCATATTTAGGAACTCCAAAGAGCTGTAATTTATTTCACAAATGAACTAGCTAACCAACTGAGAATACTGATCATTTTGCCAATACTACTTCACACTATCATTGTATTACCTCTTATGCTATGTCTACATTAGGAACTAGGGGCATGATTCCCCTGCTTGTGTACACACACTCGCGCAAACTAAGTGAGAGCTAGCGTAAGTACAAATAGCAGTGTAGCTGCGGTAGCACGGGTAGCAGCAAATCCACCTGAAACCAGCAGGCATGTATTTTGCACAGAACAGCATAGATACTGGAGGAATACTGGCACTGGTTGAAAGCAATAACTGCTTCTAGACAGTTACTTTAAAACTGCCACTCCTGGTCAATTTGATGAGCTTGCAATAAGCTCTTCATACATACTTATGTATCACATACTACTTCTACAATGTCTATAAAATGTAAGAGTGAGTGCATATGTACATGTGTGTGTGTTTCCAATCATTTATTTAAGTGTGTATGTGTAAGTACATATAAAACACAAAATACAAAATAATGAAAATATACTAGGACGACAGATCTCTAATCGTGCTCCATGGAGACCATCTTATTTGAAAACGAAGCAGTGGTGATAGAGGGTTCAGAGAAGTGATCCACAGAATGAAAAAGTTGGAGAACCATTGCACTAGTCTAAGCTATAACCATTAGGATTGCACAAGTGAAACTGAGAGCAGCATTTAGCTCCCTTTGTAAGAAATGTGGGCTTAATCCTGCACCATTAAAGTCATCTGGAGTTTGTCCACTGAGAAGGACGGCAAGAGGATCAAGTCTTATATAGAAATAGATACAGACACTTGTACAAAAATATGTACAAAGTATATACATTTGTACATAAAGCTGTTACAGTTGCAAATACTGTGAATATACATCCTGTCACTAAATATATGTGTATAGAGAGAGGATAATACAAGACAGCTATATATTTTCACAGCAGAATTGTTATCAAGATTATCCTTCCATCAAAATCTTTGTTGTTTTGAAGTTCAGGTTACCTGAGTAAAAAACCCAACAATATGATCCCTAAAAAAACCCTGGAAATGTCCAGATTAGGGTTCCCATACATCCGGGTTTTCCCAGATATGACCTCTTTTTTGGCCCGCTGATCTCCGTCTGGCAGATTTCTGAAATAAGAGGAAATGTCCTGGATTTTTCCTTGCGGACCAGACATTGCAGCTCAGAAAAAGCCGCTTCTGCACCCCAATTGATCCCTCCCCTGCATCCGCAGTTGCCAGTTCCTGTTTGCCCCGTCCTGGCCCGCCAGGTAAGCGGAGCCACCAAGCGCCTCTTGACTGCCCTGCTACAGGTACTCAGGGCCGGGATGGGAGGGGTGACAGGGCTAGGCCCCAGCTCCCTGACCTGGGGAAAAGAAGAGGCCCACAGGGAGGCACTGACTGACAGGCTGGCACTGTGTCCCAGGCCCGATCCAGCCGCCATGCCACCAAGACAGGGAGTGCAACACTGCCCCCCACACCTCGAGTGTGAAACCACAGATACCCCCTCTGGAGCCCCCCCAATACCCCTTACCAGTACACACAGACACCCCTCCGGAACTCCCCCAAAAATTCCTTCCCAGTACAACCTCCAGCACCCCTCAAATGTATCCTCCCTCTAGCTCCCTCTTCTCCCCCCGCCTCCCCTGCAGTATCCTCTATTTGGGAACTTGAAATATGATTGCCCTAGTCCAGATAAAGGAACTTTCTTTAAAATTCCCTAATTCTCACACAGTATATCAACTAAATTGCACTAAGAGACTTTTCTGCACTTCCAACATATAAAGAAACAATGTGCATAGCAAATTTACTGTGACACGTTTTTCTAAATGCAAAACGTTAATGTCATCTTAAGCAACACTGACCAGTACTTACAATTTAGGTATATAATCTTATACATACGTAGGACAATTTATAAGCTCCTGAAACGCTTTCAGCTACAACTCTCCTTCTCTACCTGCCCCTAGTCATTTTTTGATGCTGCAGAAAGATGGGAAATGTGTAGCTAAAAGCATCTCAAACCCAAGGCTCTTGGCAGTAGAATACTATCACAGTTACGATACTCAACTAATATTCCACATGATCTGCTCTATCCCTAAAGGCATAATCTTATATAACCCTTTTTATTAGGGCTATCCATTAATCGCAGTTAACTCACGTGATTAACTCAAAAAAAAAATCGTGATTAAAAAATGAATCGCAATTAATCGCAGTTTTAATCGCACTGTTAAACAATGGAATGCCAATTGAAATGTATTAAATATTTTTGGATATTTTTCTACATTTTAAAATATATTGACTTTAATTACAACACAGAATACAAAGTATATAGTGCTCACTTTATATTATTATTTTTTATTACAAATATTT